TAATACAATTCTTCCTCTTGACTTCTATATAATTTCTCCTCATTTCAAAGAACCCTGGTCAAGAAATTCCACATAAATGAGAAAAAAAAATCTTTGACACCTAAAGCTTTGACCCTAGAACACCCCATTACTTACCCTCACAAGATGCAGGTTGTTGCCTGTGATTCTCAAGGCATCCGAGCCATGGGTCACTGTGTACCGGTACTCCCCTATTGGTTCGTCTCCCATCGACTGGCTGTGGACTAGGGTGTTTCTTTTGGAGCCTGCATGTCGAGAACCAGCGGAGACAAACATTTTTAAAACAGGTTGTACTTGCTATAAATGGTAGTCTAGACTTATCTCTTTATCAATGTATTTTTAGTATTTAAACAATAATGAGACAAATGAATTTTTCTTTTTGAAAATATACTGAATGAGTTTTCTATTGCACATATGATATCAAATCTTTAGCACATGATTTTATGTTCCATTTGATTATTCAGCATCAATACAATCATTAGCTACTGACAAGTAACAATGCATTTTAAAGTGAGCATGACTTAATGGTATCTGAGTTATATCTGAACTGATGTTCCTGACTGGCTGGATTTCATGACTCTATGCTGACTGGCTTGATTTCCGAGGTATCGTAAAGAACAGACTGTATAGTGTTTGAGATTGACTGGCTGTCAAAATGTCTCAGGCATTCAGGTATAACAGTCACTGACTGAGTTATGTCATTAATCAAAGGCAATGACTGAGTGAACAGCTGAAACTAGTCCAGTCACGAGATCAGCCAGTCAGCAACACTAATTCTTAGATGTTTGAGAAATAACTTTATTTTGTACATTCATTCCATAACCATAATAAAATGACTACTTTTTTTTTTATAAATGTTCAATTAAACAACTCATAACACTGTACACCTTCACAACAAGAGTTTTAGATACACCATGTAACTATTACATAACATGTTACAAAAATGCCTCTCCTATGAAGAGCAGTTATCTATGAAAAACTGTTCCCAAGAAAACCATTAAAGCATTTTTTTCTACCTCCTTTTCTACTTCTCAGCTACAAGAGTATATGTAAAATGAATTTATTTATCTCAATACTAATATATATGTTTACAAGAAAACCAATTTGATGTACAAGAAAAAGGTAAAAATACTACTAAAGAGCCACAAAATGTCCACAAAAAATTAACAATTTTTAAAAACTCTTCCTCTTTTAAAATTATAACCAAATTAAGATTTCAGTGAACAGTAAAGAAAAGAGGCATTAATGTGTAGCATTTCATGAAATTTATGAACTAAATAATACTTTATGAAATCATTGACAAATTTGTAAAACTGCACATAAAAGGAAAAAATAGATTACTGTTGATGAAAAAAAGCAAAACTAAATTAAAACTGTTGATTAAGAATCTATAATTTACTGATTTCAATAAAATTCTCCTTAATATGAAATGTCATGATTTACAATACAAAAAAGGTACGGAAAATCCAATTAGCGAAGGGGAAAAACAAGATGAAAAAAATATATATAAATAGCCCAAGACATATACATAATATCAGATACATTAACATTCCACATATCATTTTTGCATGGTCTAAAAAAGAATAATAATAAAAAATAATAATAATGCATATATTACTGACATGTCAACTGTCATTCTCAAAGATGGGCAAACATATATATAAGTCATAATGTAAGGCTAATAACACATAAGATTTCTGCGCATGCACTGGTAACTGATTACCTTCCTGATTATTTCTTATTTTTTTCAAGCAGCTTCCAAAAGCCATCTGTTAATAACATGAAAAACAGCAACAACAACAACGACAAGAGTAATGGAGTAAGTGTATTAATCTCAAATTGGAAAAAAAACATTATGTATATCTATTACTATTGCCTCACTTCACAAAAAAAAAAAAAAAAAAAAAAAAAAAAAAAATATATATATATATATAATTCTATAAACCTGATTTACTTACTAAACCCATATAAAATGTTCTAATCAATCCCATTGCATACATGATTAAAAATCCTAAAGACAACGTAAATATAAACAGAACTTCAGTCTCCGTTGATATCAGATTAAAATGAGAGCTATGTTGATGTACCATCTTGTTCCATAGGTTACAGGATATATATTAAACAAAATGCACTATCATAACTGCAACTACAATAATTACTTGTTCTCTTACTCAAAGCTGGGGGTTTGGTCCCATCAAATGTGTGGTCTATGAATACATTACAAGCGAGTCATAAGATATCTTTTTTTATACATGATAAACAGATAAACTGATTTTTTTTCTTTTCTTATATACAAATTCACTAATCTATTCCTCCAAAAAGCTCACCTACTTCATTTGTTTATTTCTCAAGAGTATGTAATAGTACTATAATGTCTTACATGTAGTACTGCAACTTTCTTCCACAATAAAGTTATGACAGGTTCTAATGAAGGTGTTTTTAATGCTTTTTTTAATTACGGATTCACATAATTTCACTTACT